CCGAAGCAGCTTTTGTTTCCCCCATTTACCCCTTCAGCAGCAGCAGCAGCAGCAGCAGCAGCAGCAGCAGCAGCAGCAGATTCACCTCGAGTTGAACAAGTACCAAAAAGCGGCAGCAGCGAAGCAGCAAAAAGATTTCCACTTTTCTGCGAGGCGCTTCGCTTCTCGCCAGGGGAACAGCAGCAGCAGCAGCAGCAGCAGCAGCAGCAGCAGCAGCAGCAAGAGCAGCAGCCGCTGCAGCAGCAGCAGGAGCAGCAGCTGCTGCAGCTCCAACGCAGCAGCAACTCGCAGTACTGCTCTTCCCCACCTCCTCCCCAGACGCTGCTGCCAGCCACTCCTCAGGCAGCTGTTGCCGCTAGTGCTGCTGCTGCTGCTGCTGCTGCTGCTACTGCTGCTGCTACTGCTGCTGCTGCTGCTGCTGCTACTGCTGCTGCTACTGCTGCTGCTGCTGCTGCTGCTGCTGCTGCTGCTGCTGCAATGAAGCCACAGGAAGCTTCTTTCTTTCTTAAAGACGGGGGGCCCAGGGCCCCCAAAGCGACGGGCCTGAAGCTGCAAGTGAGGAGAATTTAATTTTAAAATAAATTTTAATTTATTTTTATTTTGAAATTAATTCATTTAATTAATTTTTCTACTTTTAATTAATTCTTTTATTTAATTCTTTTTATTTTTTAAATAGTCTTTTCAATATGCGTTTGTTTGTAACGAGTTTGCTGCTGCTGCTTTGCTTCAAACTGGCCTTAGCTGCTGCTGCTGCTGCTGCTGCTGCTACCCCCAAACCCTAAACCCTAAACCCTAAACCCTAAACCCTAAACCCTAGCTCTATCCGTCCACTACTCGCTCACAATATGCTTTCTGCATTTCCCGCCAACGAACTAATTGGCCAAAATTAATTAAATTAAATTAATTAAATTAATTAAATTGAATTAAATTAATTAATTAAATTAAATTAATTAATTTAATTAAATAATTAATTAAATTAAATATTTAATTAAATTTATTTATTTTTATTTCAGGTGCAAAACCTCTCTGGGAAGTTGGCAGCAGTTTTGTCTCACCCGCCTTCACCGCCGGGAAGCGCAAACCCTAATCGGGAAACCCTAAACCCTAATCGGGAAACCCTAAACCCTAATTGCGAAACCCTAAACCCTAATTGCGAAGCCCCAAACCCTAACGCCGAAACCCTAAACCCTAATGCGGAAGCGCCAAACCCTGGCGCGCAAACCCCAAACCCTAGCGCGCAAACCCTAAACCCTAGCGGCGGCGCGCAAACCCCAAACCCTAGCGCGCAAACCCTAAACCCTAGCGGCGGCGCGCAAACCCTAAACCCTAGCGCGCAAACCCTAAACCCTAGCGCGCAAACCCTCGAGGCGGAGGAACTGGGGCTGCTGCTGCTGCAGTTCAAAGAACAAATGGGACAAGAAGTGGAAAAGTTCCAAAAAGATTTGCTGCTGCAGCAGCAGCTGCAAGCAGCAGAAAACAAACGGCTGCTGCTGCTGCTCAGCAGCACGCAGCTGGAGACGCAAACCCTCGCGCAGCAGATCCAAACCACGCAGCTCAAGATCGACAAACTCGAACGCGAAATCGGCACTGGCTAAACCCTAAACCCTAAACCCTAAACCCTAAACCCTAAACCCTAAACCCTAAACCCTGGGCGCCGCAGCGGCAGCAGGGCCCGCGCTGGCGCGCGCGCTGCGCCGCGGGACCCTCGCAGCTCCGCGCTGCGCTTTGCCCTCAGGGTTTAGGGTTTAGGGTTTAGGGTTTAGGGTTTAGGGTTTAGGGTTTAGGGTTTGAGAGGGACTGCCACGCTGCGCACAAGTGCTGCTGCAGCAAAGCGCCAAATGCTGCAGCACTCATTTGCTGCGTCAAACTCCCCGAGCTGTCCAGCAGCTGCAGCAGCAGCGCAGCCAACTCGTGCGGGCACTGCAGCACAAACCCTAAACCCTAAACCCTAAACCCTAAACCCTAAACCCTCGACCCTCTGTCGGGAACCCTGCAGCAGCAGACCTTTTGCAGCAAATTCAGCAGTTACTCGCGCACGTAAAATGCCAGTCATTCTTAGGACGAGGGTTTAGGGTTTAGGGTTTAGGGTTTAGGGTTTAGGGTTTACGACTTAGCGTCTACGACTTAGGGTTTACGATTTAGGGTTTAGGGTTTAGGGTTTAGGGTTTACCGTGAAGGCATCGCCAGCCTCCAGAACCCGGTGTTGAAAAAACGGGCCTGTGCACAAAGCACACTTAAACCCTAAACCCTAAACCCTAAACCCTAAACCCTCGAAAAAAAGGCTTGCTAGGGTTTGCGTGTAATGCCCACATGAGCAAAAGCGAGGAAGCACAAGAAAGCGGTTCGACCTCCCCGATAAGACAATTTGCTGCTGCTGCTGCTGCTGCAGCTGCTGCTGCAGCAGCTGCTGCTGCTGCTGCTGCTGCTGTTGCTGTTGCTGCTGCTGCGGCTGGCCGTCTGCTTCTAGGCAACAGGCTCCTGCTGCGTCTCGAGCTGCATC